CAGCTCCGAAGCACAGCAGCCCCTAAAAGACCTGAGCTCTTGGCTTTTATCTTGACGGAAGGGGAGCGGTGGCCCGGAGTCCTCCAGAGCGGGATCCGCTCCGCTGCGCCGACCCCAGAGCCGAGCTGCGGGAGCTCCCGACCCCGCCGGCCCAAGCGCCTCGCACCCGGCCAGCTTCCCGTTAGCTGTGCTCTTGCCTCACTGCCTTTTTGCCCCTCTGGGTAGTTAGGGTGGATCTTAGACACCTACCCTACCTGTCCTGGTACTGTTTCAGACAGCTCGCTTAACACGTGTGCTGGATGACATACCTCCCTTTCCCCTCATCTACCTGAGACCAGTCCCAACACAGCTGAGGGAACCCACCGCCCCAGAGTTTCTCCTTCCTCAGACCGTGCATCCTCGAGCACCACTAGCACGCCTCACTCCTGCTCTTTGTACTCGGTTACAGCGCAGTGCAAGAAGTATGCCAGAGGGAGATGCAACCTGTGGCAAGAAACTTCGCATCTCCAGTGACTTTTCGTCCCCACACTGCTTAGAAATTTGCGTTTCCCGCCCCGCTGCTCACTTGTTGAGCTCACATATCAGTGAGTATTTGACAGGTTTGGGGCTTTTTTTTCGGTTTCTTTTCTACACCATATGAAAAACCAGACGAGAACTACAATCTCTTAGGTATATAGCACGTACATAGCACGTCTTGCATTTAAGGACAAAATGCACAAACTGTACATTTTACCAAAACGTCTCTGATGTCAGAAGAGCCCTCATAGACAGGTGTTATGCTGGCACTGAATGCACAATTGCCTACAAACAACATGTTAGCGTGTAAAGTGTTTTCACCATTTCTCCCCATTCTGTTTCTAGTTTGTTTCTTTCCCACCCTTCATTCTCGCAGAGCCTGGGAAAGCTGCTGCTGTTTAGACTTTGTCTGTGTCTAAGGCAGGACATTTTAACACAAATTTGAACAGGGCTGGGGCAAAAAATGTTTTGACTGGAGTCATTTTGACAAGGTCATCCGTCATCTGGTGTATAGATTGATAACACCTAAATTAAAGGCAAACACGAGCAGGAACACCCCTGCCACCCATTTTTAGGAGTTATAAAGTAGGATATAAAAACCTTCTTTAAGTCTTTAATCAATTCCATTATGCAATATGTAATAATTTTTATCCTTCTCGCTCTATTAATCCTCTTTCTGAAGTTCTACAGCGCTACCGCTCAGCTGGGGGACAGAGGTGCGGGCCGGGAGTCTGTTCACACAGTCGCTGGTGTGTTGAGTGCACTGACAGTGGGCGCGCTTGGTTTTCTCTGTTTTCACTGCATTAATACAACGTCTCGTCCATACCCAGCTCCCTCCTGGTCACAATTTTATTCCGCCCCATCCGACTCTTTCAATTTTATTTTATTATTTTTTTTTTTAAACGAGCACATCTGTGCAAAGGTTGTTCTCCTTACTGGGCTTCTTTCTAAAATACTGCATTACTTTTAGTGGTAGCAATTTCAAAAATTCGTTTCGCGCTAGAAAAATGTGATGAAGTAGAGGAAAGATCCTAACTAATGGACTTAAGTACATTGTCAATACCTGCACTTGCTTCGAGTGGTTAACAGAAGTATTCCATGAGGGTTCATATTCAGAAGTACTTCAATCTGTTGCTTTTGGCATTTTTTAAACAGACAGAAAAGTAGCGCTTTGAGTGATCAAGGTGGCAGAATAAAATTTATAGACTCTTTTGACACTCCGGGACCCTGCCGAACCAGAGGAGAGGAGGAAGGAAGGCTCGGCGTCTCTGCCGGTCCTCAGGCCGTGCGGAGGGCAGGGAGGGAGCCGGTCCCCTCAGCAGCAGGGCCCGCACCCCCAGTTCTGCCCGCTGCTCCGGTCGGTCACTCGCTCGGGAGGGGGCGGCGGGGGCCGGTGGGCGCACTGCGCTGGTCATTTGGCTTATTCCCTTAGCGACTAGAAGCCCCCTTGTGCCGGGTCCGGTGGCCGCAGGGTGGGAATGGAGGAGAGCACCCGCGGGGAAGGAAGGTGGGCGAGCCGCGGGCCAGCGCCGGTGCCGAGCAGCGGGCGGGCAGAGCGGAGCTCCCGGCGCCGGGCCGGCGGCAAGGGCACGGCTCCTCGCCCAGCCTCCCCAAAACATCGCCGCTCCTGGCCCCTTCACTCCCCCGGGAAGAGCAAAGCAGGCATATCCACCAGCAGGGCTCCCAGCCCTGAACCTGCACCTCCCCGAGGTGGCTTTAGCCAACCCTGACCTCTGGTCTCGCTTCCCCAGGCAGAGCGGTTTGTGCGCGTCCCTTCTGTCTCTCCCGAGTTGGTCTATTTCTTACTGTCTCTTGGGTTTGCCTTTGTTGCGAGGCTATTTTTTAAAATAATTTAAAAATGATTTTATTTCTTTGCTCCTGGATGTAAAGACGAAAGTGAAAAGAGAAAGGAGGTTTAAACTACTGCCATCTCCTTCCTCTTAGGCTTTTTCATTATTTAGAGGACGAGTGCTGAAACAAATCACATTGACCGTTTAGAAGGCGATCAAACCTTTATAAAAATCCATCGCCTACGAATCGATTGGTGAATATTTGCTAGGAATTTGTTCAAAAGAAATAAATAAGGAGGGTAAGTGTATTAAATGCAAAGGGGGAACACGGTGGTGTTTTTCTTCATTGATTAATGACCTCTAAAATAGAACAAGCGGGAAGAGGAGCCAAGATCGATAAATTAACTACCCAAATTCATCATTTTCCCTGCGATTTTTTTCCCTTTTAGGATGTTTGGTTGGGTTTTATGGGGTTTTCTGGTTTCGTTTTTTTTTTTTTTTTTTTTTTTTTTTTTGGTTGGTTGGTTGGTTGGTTAGTTGGGTTTTGTATTGTAAACAACACTTATGAAGGATGCACTTCTCTTTGGAAACTCAAAGGTTTTGTTTTAGGCTTGGATTAGAAAGGGGAGCTAAACCCCTTTTACCAAGGGATTGAAACGGGGACACCCTATCTGATTTCGTTTGACACACAATTAAAAAGTTTGCCTTTCATATTAATTAATTCTCCTGATCTGGGGAAGACAAATGGTCGGTTACCTCTGACAGGAGTCCGATAAAGGATTCAGCAGCTTTCCTTCTTGCCCTAGGCGTCTCCTCATTCCAGTTTTAAGGTCACGAGCGGCCGAGTTAATAATTCATTAATATAGACATTTATTCAGATGGGATTCACGGGGATTCGCGCTCTCCTACATCTCACCACTTCGGATTCCAGTTCCCCTCGAAGAGAAGAAGAGGGGGAGGAGAAGGGATAGAGGAAGGCTCTACACAATGGCATTACACACGTGTTTAAAACGTGGTGCTCGCAACGCGAGCCCTGCCGGGGCAGCCCAGCCCCGCTCCGGCGGGCGCCGCTCCCCAGGCCCAAGCGGCGGCCGAGGGCAGCGCGGCCTGGCGGCACCTCCCGAGCCCTTCCCGAGCCGAAGCCAGGCGCTGCCCTCCCCCTTCTGCTTTCCCGGAACAGCGAGCGGCCGAAGCGCGGCAAGAGTCGGTGAAATCGCCCGAAAAAGCCGCTGGCAGCGCGCCCCGGGGCCGGGCACGGGGTGCGGTGCAGAGGGGGCTGTGAGGGAGCGGCCACCGAGCCGGGGGTGGCTGCGGGTGTCGGGGGGTGCCGGGGGGTCTCTGCCGGGGGCCTCTGCCGGGGGTGTCAGGGGTGTCGGAGAGTCTCTGCTGGAGGTGTCGGGGGGTCTCTGCCAGGGGTGGCTGCGGGAGTGTCGGGGCGTGTCAGGGGGGAGTGTTAAGGGTTGTTGGGGGGATCTCTGCCGGCGGTGTCGGGGGACTCTCTACCGGGGGTCTCTGCCGGGGGTGTCAGCCTCGCCCGGCGGGTCCGCGGGCGATGCAGAGGCCGGGAGGAGCCCCCGGGGGTGCCCCCGAGGCCCGGCGGGGCGGGGCGGGGGTCGCTGCCTCTGTCCCCGCCGCTGCGAGGCCCCCGGGCCCGGGAGTGTCCCTCGGAGCGGGTCGGGACCGGAGCCCGGCCCCGCCGTGTGACACGGGCCGTGTGACACCGCCCTGCTCCGGCGAGCGGAGCTGCGGTCCCCGGGGGCTGAAGGGGCTCCTCCACGAAGGGAACTGCGTCCCTTCCTTGGGAGCAGCCAGCAAGAGGCTGTCCGAGGGGGTCTGCTGCGGGGAAGAAAGAAAAACACCTGGCCACCTGGAACTGGACAGCGGTTGTTAAAAGATTTGGCAATGGCCACGAGGCAGATGCCAGCCAGATCCATAATGACTTTCTGCCACTATTGACCTGATACGGATGTGAACTAGTGACCCTTGGGGCAAAATGCGCTGTAGTCTATTTCCAATTCCCCCAGCCACCAAATCCTCCTCACGGACAGATTCAAATATTTATGCCGGTCAACAAAACAAACTCTGCTCCAAGCAAGGCACACTGCAGATGGGATGAGAAAAGGA